TCACCCTGGAAAGCAGCGTGAAGTTCTCTGGAAGGGAGGGGAAACAGGAGCATGAGGTGATGGCTCCTGGCAAGGGCCTGAAGAAACCGTGGCAGAAGACACGGGAAGGGGATTCAGGTCTCCGCGGGAGAGAAGCTGATGCAGCACCTCCAGCGCAAGCTGAGCGGACACTGCCCAACCAACATCAACCTCCAGCCACTACTGCGAAGACAGATTATTTCTCTCTTCTACAGAGACGTGTGGGGAGAGCATGCACAAGGGAAACCAAAATAAAAGGGCAGACAGAGTCAGATCAGAAGCAATCTAACCTCACAGCCTTTCCCCAAGCATGGCCCAAAGCAGACACCCCAAGGACAAGAACAAGTCAAACATGTACAGAATTTCTTCACTCCCGCCCCTGGGGCTCAGGGCCTTTCTGAGCAAGACAGATGTGCATTTAGCAGCACTCCTTGATTTTTAGTGCAGTGGGACTGTAGCACAGAGACAGTGAGAGATAATGCAGTTGGAATTAGCAAGTTTGACAGAACTGCAGCAGAAGAGGTGAAGCAGGCCCAGATGAATACGCCTCAGAGCCATGTGAGACCTCAGGGTGGGACCAGCACCACTTGAGTCAGAAATGGTGTCTTCAAGACAATAGGTAATGTGGATAACTCTTGCCTTGCCCAGACTGTCACTTAGAATAAAAGTTAAGTGAGAATAAATATAAGCCACACTGCCTTTAGGTGATGACATGGTGATGTGAGCGGAGCTAAGGCTATCCAGAATGTTTACCCTATGAAACTGTGATTGGGACTCCATGGTGCAAGGTAGGACAAGCAGAAGTCAAGGCCACTGCACACCTGAAGAGGAAGGGAAGCCCACCACCCACCATTTCACACCTCCCAGAAAGCCCCAGTGAAGGCGAGGGCGGCATTTACCCATGCTGATTACAGCAATCTCTCCTGATGAGGAGTTGTGAGGCCCCACAAAGACACCTGACACCAGGAGGAGGGAGTCATCGGAGTTGAACTGGGAGAACTGTGTGTAGCTCCAGTTGTAGGGCCTCATGTTGGAGCTGTGCTGCAGGGAGATTTCCAACTCATTGCTCCAGATCTATAGGCAGAGGGACAAACAGTCAGGAAACTGTTGAGAAGCCTGAGAGCAGCTCCACTTTATCCACACTCACCAGGACAAAAAAAAAAAAAAAAAAAAAAAAAAAAAAAAAAAAAAAAAAAAAAAAAAAAAAAATCTAAGACCTTATTTAACTGCTTCCCAGACCTGATTTCCCTGTCAATTCTCTTCATAGAAAATGGCCAATGGCTTTGGAGAGTGGCTAAATGTAGGACTGCTTCTCCATCAGTCAGTGGAGAAGGTGTTCAAGCAGTGAATGATAATGTCACAGCTAGATTTTTCACCATGTTCAGAGAGGCTTCTCCCAAGACAACAGTGGTTACTCATGAAAGACACCTTCTGCAGTGGATCATTACCTCCACACTCTTTGTTAGACCCACAGCACAACAGGGGACTGATTTGCACCTAGAAAGCAGCCAGAGCCAGGCAGGCACCTCTGCCACCTTCACACAGGGCTGGAGCTGGAATCCACAGCCCTCAAGGCGACAACTCCAAGAGTCATTAGTTCTGTGGCTTTGAGAACAACTCAGCATCTGCAGGAACCGGCCTAAGTCCAGGGACACCCGATCAAACCTCTGCTCTCCACAGACTTCCTAAAGGCTGCTCTCACAGCTAAGCTCCACTAAACCAAAGCTGGAAGGTTTGTTCAGGGGAGGCTGCTACTTTACCTTGACAGTGCAGTCTTTGGAGCACGATGCAAACAAACAGCCAGAGTGTGAGAAGCTGAGGTGCAAAACCTGGTCATTGTGCTCCTTCAGGGCCTGCACTTCCACACAAGGGATGGTGTCGTAGAGCCTTTGGAACTCGTCATACCAGGAGACAGCAGCTGTAACACACGAGCAGGGACATGGGACAGGAATGTAACTGGAAGAAAACAACAGCCCTGAGCTAAACACAACAGCTGCAGAATTGGTGTTTAATCAAGTGCAGTCTTGACTCCTGCTAGCAATGCCAGAAGCTCTGCTGGGGCCACCATCCCTACAGCTTCAGCTGAGTTAGCAGGGCTTAACATTTTTCTCAGTAGCTTCCCCACTCCCACACACAAAGTATCTTTTCTTCCAGTAAACACACAACTCCACACCATAGCACTACCTTTTAAACCAATACAGCCACTGCAAGAAACATCTGGGGCATAGTTGTTAGCTATCTAACAAAAACCCTGCTCGGGACAAAACAGCCATCAGAACTGCAGACGTGCTCCAGCAAAATGCAAACAAATCTATCATGTGATAGAGGGAAGTGGCTCCTCAGGGTACTGGGCTCTGCTCTGATTATCTTTATCTTGCCTAACAGAATTAAGAAGGTTCCAGAAGGGGTATAACACCAGGAAAAAACAACTCCATGAGATAAGAGGCTAGAGAAAACAAGAGACAAGAATTGGAGCTGGACACAGTGTGCCAGGAAAGAAGAGCCCTGCACTAGAAAAGCCTGAAGCACACTCACAAGAGTCACAGTGACGGCCAACAGAGACAAATAAAGAGAATTTTTAATGAAGTGCCTGTAAGGCAGCCTACAGACCGTGCAGCAGCAAATCCCAAGGAAGCAAAGAGGATTAGACATGTATATGGATAAGAGCCAATTTCCCTCGTTACGTTGAGCAGGACTGGAGCGCTTTTTGGAATTCACCGCAGCCCAGGAGGCACCTGCTCCTGCAGGCAGGGAGCAGCTTACTGCCAGGACATCCCACCACTGCTCACCAGGCTGGGGGCTTCATCCCCCTCTGAAACTCTTGGTCCTGGCCTGTCCATCTGGGAAGCAGTCTTAACAGATCCCATCAAGCCAAGCAATCCTGACATTTCCTCTTACAACGCTCACTGGATACCATTCCCCAGCCCACAGAGCTGCCCAGGGTAGGCAGGCTGGCAGGGGATTTCCCCAGACTCCGGCTTCAGCCCCTTCCTGGGTCTGTGGGCCACCCTCTGACCGTGCTGCCTCACAGCTCCAGAAGTGCAGCCTGGGAGGTGCCCAAATATATTACTTAGTTACACCAACTGCTCAATCCCAATTAGTGCTAAAGCACAGGGCTCGCAACTTACTAACTTCAGGAGGCTGGAAGAAACAAGCCTGGTCAGAGCTCCAGATAATGTCCTCCACTCCAGGGAGCTCCAGGGTCTGTGCAAGTGAAATCACACAGCCCAAGTCCTGCCATCCACATCTCACCTCTTCTCTGAGCCCTTTTCACTGCTGTTCCCCACTGCACGGAGACGGGCTCCCTCTGCTTGATCCTCAGCATTTCTTCCTGTCCTTCTGTAGCAATGGCAACTCAAGATCAAGAAACCAATCCCCTCCTCCACAGCCACTGCTGGCGGCCCCCTGCACATCCCTGGGGCGGAGGATGGAGCACAGCTCTCCCAGACCTCAGCAGCATGCTGGGATCGGGCTTTTCGGTCTCCAGGAGAGACCCACTTTGGCAGCAAGGGCTCCCATCAACAGGTCCCCAAGGTCTGTCTCAGCTGGTACAGCAGCATTGGGTTACCCTTCCAGACTGCACCAAACTGCTTCCAGCACCTGAAACTCAGCAGAGAACAGACCTGTGACCATACGACTGCTGCCACCGAGACTGCCAACAGCTCCACCCAGGGAAGGCCCTGACAGGCTCAGTTGATGCTGACTCTTAATGGGTCATCTTCCTACTGTGACGTGAGGCCAAGATCAAGTCCAACCTGCCTTCACAAAGTGGGTCAGCTACTGCCCACTGTACAATTAAATGGCTGCACAGCCACCTCCCTCTCCAGACAGCAGGCACAGGCGTTCTGCCGCCACAGCCAGGCTGCAGCTGCTGCCTATGTCTTATGGAAATAGTCTGATCAGCTAATGTGTACTTGCAGCTCTTCCTAGTCTGGATGAGAAAGGGACAGAGCCTGAAGCAGGGACTTGATGTGAGGTCCTGATCAGGAAAAGCCAGCAGTGATTATCATATAGGCTGTGATATAGCAGCATGCAGTGACTCACTGCGTCTCCCTGGAATCTCCCTTAGCAGCACCCAGACAAGCTGTGCAGTAACTACCAGAGAGCACCTGCCTAGAGAGAGCTCAGAAACCAACTTTTTGTGAAAGAAAGGAAAAGTCGAAGCATTTTCAACCTTTTGATGTCCCTTTCTGAAGGGTTCAGGCAGTTCTAGAGCCCTTCACGTGCACATCACCACCCAAGTCTGTAGACTGCTAATGTGATGTGGCTTAGTGGCTCCATTCCCTTGACACCAAAGGGCATAGGGCTGGACAGCAGAGGGGGAGAAGATTTTCCCTTCTGGGCTCACGGCAGGGAGGCTTCGGGTGCCATCACCCGGGGATCAGCCCTCTGGAGCCGTCAGAGGCCCCGGAGCTGAGCAGCCCCAGGCCCGGCGCGACTGCCCAGCTTGCTTGGCAGGTTCAGGAAGGCAGCCAGCCCTGCAACAGCCACGCCAGCCCCGTCCCCCCGCGCCAGCGCACCTGGGTGCCGGGGCACCTCCCGGGAAATACGGTAGTAGCGGTAGAAGAGCTCCTTCCAGAGGAACTCATCGCGGGCCACGGCGTGCCACTGCTGGCACACCAGCCCCACCGAGAGCACGTCTACGTGGTCCAGGTAGAGGAAGATCTCGTAGAGGACGCTGTCGGGGAGGAGGGGGCCGCCGCCCGCGTCCATCGTGTCATTCTGCCGCCGCGCCTGGAAGCAAAGGGGGGGTGAGG